CCCCAAAACCCCAAAACCCCAAAACCCCAAAACCCCAAAACCCCATCAAATTCAGCATAATTAAGATTGTGCTTATTAGAAATATACTATGCTTTTGCTATATTCAATCAATAATTATTCATTCCAAATTGACAACTGTTTTCATTGTGTGTAACTTCCGTCACTACCGTTACTTTCTCTCACTCTTAATCTTCTTCTTCTTCTTCTTCTTCCTCATCATCAAGGATGATTTCATTTAAGAATGCCATAAGTTCACTAATCAACAGGTACTAGGCCTGGAGGTCTCCTTGCTTTCTTTAGAATCTCATCTTTACTCTCTCATCATCCTCATCTTCGCCTATTTTGTAGAATTTAAGATGTAACTTCAATGAGTCCTTTTAATTTTCAATTATTATTCTCTTCTTTTCTTTATCTGAAGTCAGAATTAGGTCGGGATTCCCCTCAGCTCTATACTGGTTTAGAATTTCATAAACCTCATGAGGCTTAGACTCAGTCATGAATTCTCCGAAGTTGTTGAATTTATAGGTTGCAACATAAGGCTTATCAGATACAATGTTAAGCTCATCCTCAGCTCCTCTGTGATAACCTTTTGGCTTTGAGCTCTTCATCTTTTGTCTTTGTTATGACTATTCGTCTCTTGCTTGAATGATCAGTTACATAATTCCTTATTTTGATTCTTAATCACTTAAACCATTTTTGTCGTTCATCCAGGGATGATTCCAGATCTCTTCAATGCTTGGTCTTTGACTAGGATCGAATGAGAACAGTCTTTGAAGTAAGTCTCTGCATTCATCTGATAGATAGTTGCCTTGCACTTTCTCCCAGTATTCGGTATATTTACCCTTCATCAGTAAGTTATAGAAAAATTCCTCCTCTCTAGCCTCCTTGAAAGGGAAAATTCCTCTGATCAAAATGAATAGAATAACTCCTGATGAGAATAGATCAACCTTGAGACCATTGTATGTAAGGTTCAACTTAATCTCAGGAGCCATATAAGTAAATGTGCCTCTGTAGGACTTGAGCAAATCAATTTTTTGATAAGAAGCGTAACCGAAATCAGCTATCTTCAAATTGAGGTCATTGTCGACTAGAATGTTTTCTAGCTTGAGATCTCTGTGAGATACGTTCTTCAAGTTCATGTACTCAATTGATTTGAGCATCTGTTTGAAGAAATATCTTCCGCCATCTTCACCTAGGCCACCTACTAACTGGCATACATCAAATAACAGACCTCCCTAAACATACTCTAGTACTATATATATTAATCCTGTCAGTACTTTTCCTGAAGGTTTGAACACCTGACCGTTATCACCATACTCTAGAATCTTAATGATATTTGGGTGCTTCAAAGCTTGGAGGATCACTACTTCATTGACTACAGCTTTTCTAGAATCTTCATCTCTTCTCAAGAATTCATCTCTTAAAACTTTGACTGCGACATAAGTTTTAGGGTCGCTTATTGTTTGGGCCAAGTAGACTTTGGATGTGTTGCCCTCTCCTAAAGTGCTAAGCATTATGTATTTTCCGTTAAGAACTGGCATTGTTAATGGCATACTGCTGTCCATTTCTGATTAGATTGTTAAAGAAAATTTATTAATTGATTCCCAAAAAGTTCGAAGTTTAAATTCTCTGAACGGGGTTTTGGGGTTTTGGGG